CATTGATGTGTGTGCAAAGCATAGCCAAGGAAGAAACACTTAAAATACTTAAGTTTTTTTATCAAGCTTGCTTAATATTGTGCACAGCAAACAACCTCAAAATATTGTTTATTGTATTTATTTATCTATTTATTGTATTTTGTTTATTAATGAAAAAATGTCTGCTGAATCTTGGAGTCTTTGTTTTTATCCTCGTATCGAAAATGACATCGAGTATCGAATATTTTACTTAGTATCGGTATCGAGTTTTAAAGTTTAGTATCGTGACAACCCTAGAAGAAAATGCCATTTTGAAAGAAAGAAATAGCAGTGTTATTGAAATCTGAATCTTTCCTGGTACCAGATTTAAGTTTGAACCTTCAGTATTTTAACCAACCCTAATGTTGACCCTCAGAACTAAACCAGAACCAAAGTTTATTTAACCACAAACATAAAAGACACAATAAACAATAATAATCCTGTTAGATGCAACTAGAAAGTCAAGTCGGATGGCTTTTAGTGGCATAAAAATGAAAACCAACAACCTTCATTCAACCTTAATTTGCACAGAACTACTGTATAATAAAACAGCTCCACTTGGTTTAAATTTTAAACCAATAAACATGAAGAAGAAACCTTATGTTTACCACATGTCTAACTGGGTTAACAAAGCAACTGTTAATTGAAACACTCGGGATATTCTGAGGATTCTGTGTAGATTTAGCAAATCTGCTGGAAACACTGGTCATCGAGTGCGCCCAGTGATGCTGAAATGACCACTGAGAGACAGGCTCATCTGGAGCCATGTGTTGAAGAGATGTGCCACTTTATGGCCACAACCAAAGCCTATTATAGGCTAAACTCCCTACGCTGTCTGAAAAAGAGAAAGGTGAGGAAAACCGTCTGTCACGACTGGATTACAGATCAGAGAGAAGGGAGGGGATGGCCCAGCGTGTCACCGATGCAGGAGCCGTATGTGCATCCGGCTTTCACCAGAAACTCCTGCAAATCCTGCTTGTTTATTATGGGATTACTGCACTGATACTGTAACTATAAAAATCACTGGGAGATGGAAGCATGCCAAGTACAGAGAAAGATCTGCGCTAAGTAGCACAGGTAACTCCCTGCAGAATTATCATTAAGTACATCATCATGATACCATAAGAGATATAATTATAACTATCAGGCAGCTTTAATTAAGACACTGGAGCAGGTGAAGGTTCAGATGCCTTTGTACAGAAGATGAGAGGAAAAGTCCAATTTTTTCAGATTCCATCAGAACTAATCTAAGCTGTGAAAAAAAATTTTTTTTTTTGCATAGTTTGTCCCACTTGACCCAAGGTGATTGTATTTAGATTTTTACTGATAACTTTAATTACACTGCACATATGAATAAAATTTTCCCTAATAGACGCACACAGCAGTGGGGTTTTATTACCCGTTTGCTCCAGAGAAAACGCCAAACTTGCACAGCTGTACACGGGCAGCGTAGAAAAGGATGTTTTCAGTGTTTAAGATAAACACCATAAACTCTAAAATCTTTAATTAAGATCAACTAATCATGTTTTTTTTTTCTCATGCTGATACAGATTATTTTGAAAAACAATCTAACCAACTTTAACAGGCCTTAAAAAAAAAAAAGCTGATGTGTCGTCTATCTATTCTGTAACATTGGACTTGTTGAGCTAGCACTGAATTTGCACTAAACACAAAGACTTTAAATTAGTTTGAAATACTTAACATCTTATGTTGTTTTTTGTTTTTGTTTTTTTATCTCAAAGCATTTTTAAGGGTTTGACAGCAAATTCTAGACTTGATTTAATGTACTCAATAGAGGGGCACGATATATAGATCATAACAGCAGTAACAATCCAGTTTCAATCCCAACGGCCTGCTTGTCAGGTTATGATGTTTCCAGAAATGTGCATTAAAGCTTTGCTTGTCATCAATAAAACTGTTAACTTGAGAGGAATTTCACTCTCTGTCATTTCCTGGTCTTCATCTTACTGACAAATGGATAATGCTAAACTCTATTTGTAAGGTAGCAAAAACCAGGAAAATAAAAGCCATCAATTAAATCAAACCCAGTATAAAACGTAAATATTCTGAAAATTGTATAATTATGAAAATATAATAAGGTCTGGAGTAAAAAAACTGCAACCTTTCAAAACTAAAACTGATTAATCCAACACAGAGATCTAAGGGCTCGTGCGAACTAGTCCAAAAACTGTTACTGGTACCATGATTTTCTCAAGTTTATTCCCGCATTATAAGAGGAGAAATCCCCATGTCATTACCTAAAAACTAAATATTTCAGAATTTCCCCTGGTACTGCCCATCAGCACCAAATGAATGGGTCATTACCAGGCCTTTGCAGAATTTGAAAACACACTGAGAAGATAACTTGGCCTTTTAAATTAGCTGTGTGGTTTAAAACATACAGGACACTGGCCTTTAAGGACGGGAGGCGGATGCTACTAATAGCACAGGGAACCATGTTGTTTTCTGAAGTGGTTGGTTTGAAACTGTTCCTCTGCCCTGCAAGCAAGTAGCATACAGAGGAGGAGGTGGAGGGAAGTCACAGGACCTCAGAACAGGAGACGTGGATTCAGGACTTCTCCAGGGCAGCTATTTTTTTTCTGAACCTCATGTTCTCTTTAATTTACTGAAATCTTTTAGGTTTTTGTCAGAGATATTCTTCAAAAACATCTGTAATCAACGGTACTGAAGCCTCTTGTTTTTGTTTTTTTTTTAACACCAGCACGTGACACAGGAAGTAAAAATAAAAATGCTTTAAAATACTGGAAACATTATTATTGTTGGAGTTACGACATACTTCAACATATTTGAATTTAGTTTTTAAGGCTGTAAACTTGACAGTGGGATTTTGGTATTCATATTCACCCCCCGATAGATTACTCCGATAGCCCTAAATAAAGACCAGTAAAAATAATTGCCTTCAGAATTTGGAAAGAGTCCTGCTGTGTGCGATTAAATCTCTAGACCCAACTCCCTTTGCTTCTGGTCTCAGAGGTTTGTTTGAGAGCATTAGAGGACAGACTGCAGCGGATGCAACAACCACAGACCAACCAAAACTTTTACAGCTTAATAAACAGGCAAAGCAAGAAGAGTATTAATCAGAGCAGCAGCAAAGAGGCCCATGGTAACTCTGGATGAGCTACAAAGATGCACAGTTCAGGTGGAAGAATCTGTTCTTAAATAGGAATATAACATGAAAAAATTATAATACCACCTTAAAAAATATATAAAAATCAGCCTAGAACAGGGGTAATCAATTCAAAATCAGCGAGTCCGAATAAAGAAAATCAACAGTCAGTAAAGGCCCGGACATTTTATTATAATCTGTTACTTTACACAGAATCTAACACTGAAATAAACTGAGGCTTTTATGCATCCATGTTATACATTGATTTTTAAAATAAAAAATATATTTAAAAAAAAATAGAACATTTTTCCATTTTAAAATCTAAAGTGTTTTTTGAAGTAGAGAACAACAATCTTTCAGTTTGGTATGTAGACAATTTCCTGCTTCACATATTTTATAAAACACCTGAAATGGCCTTTTGTTTGTTTTTTCCTTTCTTTTTTATGGATTAATGAGAGCAGTGGGCTTTAGGCTGACCTGCAAGGCTTTAAACCTGGGTTTGAATGGAGACAAAGTCATTCTCAAGCACATATCCTTCATGAGCCTGGATCCATTTTTTATTTTTGATTCTGTTTATGGTGGAGAATCCTGCTTCACAGCAGTAGGTTGAGCCAAACATACTCAAAATGTGCAGGGTCATCTTTGAGCACACTGTTCACTTTTCTTTCACCAGTTCACCACGCTTCTTCCAGCAGTCTACAATTTCTTTCACGTTTTCCCATCATCGTTACCCATTGCCCGGCTTGCCACCGGTTTGCTTGCAGTGTCTAAAAGTAGCTAGCAGCAACAGCCCTGACCGACACAGCTCATTGGCTAATATGCATCACGTGAAGCCTGGTCACGCAGGGCTTGACCGTAAAAACACCAGAAGCGGCGCAAGTGAAATGAGACACTGTCGTCGGAACAACATGCAGTAATTTATAAATGTTTTAAATCAGGTTGGGTCCAGATTAGCCAGCAGGTGGGTCCGGATCTGGACTGCGGTCCGCTAATCTGTGACTTCTGGTCTAGAATCTTAAACAACATTAATAAAAATGTGTGTCAAAGAATCAGAGGGGCACATTTCTTCCATGATGACACATGGAAGAGGCAGGATCATGCTGTGGAGATGGACGGAGCTAAATATTTGACAACTGGTGGAGAAAATGTGTTTGTGGCTACAGAAGTAAAGTCAAAAGTCTAGTCAAAGCCCAAACCTAAGACTTTGACTCAGTGGGTCAAAATACATAGACCCACATTGCTAAAATGTTCTTTTGACTTTACAATCATGCATTACATTGTGCTGGTCTATAAGTCCTAATGAAATCTGTTGATGTTTGTGATTGCAATATGACAAAATGTAGAAAGATTCATGTAGTGTGAACACTGCTGCAAGCAACTGTGTCAGATTATGAGAAAGGTTAAGTGTTGAAAAGGGGTCAAGGCAATTCATCCACCCAGATGAAAGAAGAGACAGGAAAAGGAAGAAAGAGTTGCAGCACAGCTCTACAAACAGCAGTTGAAGTGACAAAACCGAGCTGTTGCAGTTGTATCGTCTCACCAGCTCTGAAGGTTTAGCACAGCAGTGACAACACCCTGCAGTCTACACCAACTGATCTCTTCCCCGCTGAGCTGTTCTAAGATTTATTGATCAAACCAACTGCATTTCTGCATATCCACACCCAGCTGTGGGCCTCTTCCCACTCAGAGCAGCGTGAGCGGGAGTTCGACGTGATGTTCGACATGGAGCTGCAGATTCATTAAAGCCATGAAGATTACATTTGTAGATTATAAACCAAGGGAGGAAACAAAGAGGGAGAGGAAGGATGAGGGGAACCTTTACAGAGTTATTGGACCGTGATTATGGAGGACTTACTTCATTTGTTTGACGATGGTGCTTTTCCCTGACTCTCCAGCCCCTGAGGGAGAAAGAAAGGAGAAATCAGTGTAAACAGGAGTGTATGCATGTATGTGATAGACTGAGGGGATGAAGAGGAGGAAGTGGGAGGAACGGAGGAAGAACATGAAGCCCAGCAGCAGGAGGTGCAGAGAAAAAAGGATGGAGAGAGTGACTGAAACCTTTCTCCTCGTTTTAGTCATCCACCCTCCATCTTAGTTTGGCAAACAGATTAAATCCTTAAAGGTTGAGTTCCCTTAAAAGAATTAATGATGTGAGCAAACAGTGTTGCTGCTGCTGCAACCTTCCATTTTTCCCCCATCTGCAGTTCTCACCTCTCTGTTGGTTTTTAAAACATTTTACCAATTGCCACACCTATTTGATCATCCACATCCATGGGATGTAACAATGCGGGCCATATTTCATAAAAATACAGTTAATGATGCACACCATTTCTATTTTATGTCGTGCCATTGATTGTATTTTATTATATCACTGGGGCGTCGTGTCTCTGCTGTAATCTTAGACATTTTTTTAGGAGAGCTCCTCCAGTGCGCATCATGACCAGCAGCGCCACACCTTTCCCGGCCCCGCTAGGCTGCCTCTTTTCTCGGCCTTGCGGCTGGATCTTACCGAGCAACAGCAGTTTGACATCTTTGGCCGCAGTCAGTCCGTCCTCCTTCAGGTTCTTCTCTATGGCTTTGCTCCGGTCCAGAGCCGCCCGCTCCTCTGCGCTCAGGGTACATCCCATGGTTAGAGAACACAGCTTGATGGCGGTAGGGGTACAAGGCTCCACGATAACCCGATCAGTGGATTGATTTTAAGAAGGTTGGAGAAATCTGATCACAGATCCTTTCAATTTTAGGAACGTATTTCCACCTTTTCTGCGCTCTGCCTTCGATCCCTTTGCTTCTCTCAGGGCAGCTCCCTCTCTCAAGCCGGGCGCAGAGGCTCCGTTAAAGCATTAACTCAGCGATCCTCTCGGTTTGATCCACAGCGCGGAAAGCAGCACGGTGGAGCCACCGCAGCTGGCTTCTTGTCCCTTCTTCCTTGCGTCTCCTGACGGTGAACCTCCGTCCCTTTTTCGGATCTCGTTGGTTTTAGTTTGTTACTGGGCGGCGGTGAGCTGCGCTCGCATCGCTTGGTTCCTCCTGAGGTTGGCGCACAGCAGACCCGTTTCTTGGTTCGGCTTCTCCGGGACGCGCTGCTTGGACTCGCTTTGTATCTCTGCTGCCTCCCGGTAGCTCCGGTAAGGGCTCGATCTGTCCTCCGTTAGTTCATTCGCTTTACTTGCACCTTGCTGACGTCACAACAGTAACAGTTTGGGTGGGAGAGCGTCAAAGCGTTCCCAGTGGCGCGGCCTGGTGGCGCAAACTATACTGGTGCATCTTAATAAATTGGAAAGTGTCGAAATATTTATTGAATTAAAAACATTTTTTTAAAGTAACTAATTATGGATTCTTTTGTGTTTGTTTAATAATATGTTACTTTATATTCTTTCTCATGATAATCTTTGATGGGAAAGATAACTATTAGTCAGAAAAGATCACTTCTGACTCTTTGGAGTGCAGCATCAAAGCATATTAATGGAAAGTTTATTGAAAGGAAAACATTTAAAGGTATAGTGCAGGATGTTCTTTTTCAGGGTGGATCATCAAAATTAGTGGTCCTCCTAATTGTCGATCATGTTTACATAAGGCGGTCCTAAGTGCTCGTCCTCATTTTCACTTACAGGTGGTGAGTCTGACATAGTGGGAAAACTGGAAATCTTCTTTTTGAAAGTAAGCTTATATGAGTGATGCAAACAGCAACTTTTAAACAGAGTGTGCATGAGGAGAAATGGGCTCATGCATGCTCTTGCATGCATTTAATAAGCGTTTGCTCTCCTGAGCGGGTACAAGGTTGTGCATGTGCAGTGGGCGGGTCCTCTATTATACCTTTAAATTGAGAAGCAAAGAAGCAACATGGATAACCCTTTAGAAAAGCAGAATAAAAGAAAATAAATTAATGCAAGACTCTGAACCAGATTTACAAGGTCTGAAACTGTGATTTTTATTGTTTTATTTGATATTTTGCATGTACATAAACAGTGTAAAGAGTCCAAGTGACTGAGATTAGTGTGAAAGTTTCCACCATCATTGATGATTAGTGTGCCATGTCACATGGTTGGTTCAAAGTAGCACAACAGTCTCTTGGGAACTTTAGAACATATTATTTCCTTCAACAAACAATGTTTATGGAGATGCTGATTTTATTTTCCAGCAGGACTACGTAACTTTCCACAAATATCAATACCTACTTTCATCACCATACTGTTACTGTGCTTGATTGGCAAGCAAATCATCCTGTCTAAACTTTAATGGGGGGGCTTTTAGGGCATCTCGGTAAGTTAGAATAAAATTAGGTTATTAATTTCATTACTTCAATAAAATAAAGAAACTCATAAACATATTCAATGCAGAATTATGCATTTTATCTGGTGATAAAAGATGATTCCTCTCTGCTGACGAGCTTTATGGAGCATACTGATTCCATTTGGCTCCTTCCCTCATTGCTAGAAGTACTCATATGGCCTTGGTATTTTAGTTTTGGTTCCAGATGTGTATTTTTTAATATGAAGTGCACAAGCCAACCCCTTTGAAAATGAAGCTTTCATAAATCTCAAAATGTTTTAAAGACTATCTGACTAAAGTAGAAAAATTAAGAAAAGTTTTGGCCAGACTGTTTATTGTTTTGGTCTAGTGAAAAACAAATGGAGTCCAGAATTACCAGAAATTACCTTTACAGTTTGTGCTAAATTTGTATATTGTGATATACAACGATACATTCTGACGATCTGCACATCACCTGTTAATGTCCTTCCTATTAACAAGCTACAGTATGCGGTAAAGGAATAAAAAACGGACTTCTACAAATATTTTTACCTGGTTCTTGATTAGAAAATAACAAAAGTATACAGATTCAAAATTCGAAACGACTTTACTCCTCCTCTGAATGGCTGGAGGTCACTGTCAGGAGGGGCACAGACCCTCAGCCTATCAATAGGGCTGACATAATGTGAGTTGTAATTTTAATCGATCTCACTGCTTCCTTTCTTCCACAACAAGAGTCTGGTTTGGCGAGACAATCTTATCAATCAAAAAATGCGGTCAATACAATATTTAGTAGATATATGGGAAAAATGTCCATTCTATATTTGTTTCATGTTTCATAAGGAATAATGTGAGACACACCTGTTCGAGAAAAAAATCCTTATTATTTATCAAAAGACATGTTAAACCCTAAAATACCCATGTTGATGAATATAATGACATGTTTACTTCTTCATTTACTATAGTTTTTCGTACCCATAGTATAATAAATAAATTCTGATGTTTAATTTCATCTCATAGATCACTTGATGGCAGATTAGATGATTCATAGATACCTTTTGTCAAGATAAAAATAATCACAACATTGCATAACTCACAGGGTTTGATAAAATGGAACGCATGTCTATTACCATAGCAGTAAGAGCAAGCAGGTACTCATATAGAGAAGGGCTGGACAACAAATAATGTCACACCTCATCAGATAGACAATGACTTGGTATGACACATGGTATATTAATTTCACTGTCTTCCTAATAATAAAAAAACATTGAAAAAACTAAACTCTGCTTTTAACCTAACCTTTCTGTGGAGCAGTGGGATGGCACCACATGGTGCCTGGGGAGCAGTGTGGGGTTATGGGTCTTGCTCACTGACCCAGAGTGCAGGTTGTAGGGATCAAACCGGGTACTTGCAACCTTCTAAGTGCACAAGCGCACTGTTCTTACCACTGGGCCAACAATCTTCTATATCTTCTTTATCTTGGCAACAACTCCCAGAGAAAATGAGCCCAGAAATCTAATTTGGTGAAATTTCTCTGCTAAACCTAGATTAAACAGTGTTAAAGTTTGAGCACCCTCTGAGAGACATTTACTATAAGAAGAAGTATTATTTAAAGACGAAGGCTGTAGGTAAAAGTACAGTGAATAAACCTCCAGGTGTAAGTGCCTTCAGGGGGGAACAGCCTTCATTTCAACTTAAAAAACAAAACATAAAACTGTTCCCAGAGACTAGTCAGTAAGGGGTTACATCATGAGAGCCTCCACTGAGAAGGTATTATGCAAAAACTGGTGATGTCACATCTAGCCTATGAAATTTAATAAATATATGTAAAAATGTCCAGCATGCAGCTGCTCACATCTCCTTCATAGACACACCCTAAAAAAGAGCCATGGAGGACCAAAGCCCCTTAGTGACACAGTATGAAGCTAAATAGTGCAGCGGCTCCTTGTTAGAAAAATCCAGTGAAATAAAGTTACTCCTACAATACAGAGAAAAAAGCTAATTAGACTAAGAGTGTCCCACAACTGGCTTCACCTAAGGCATAGATGGGCTTGTGACCTATCTTTATCAATTTTTAGAACATAAGCTGGGCACAAATGTATGTGTCCAGCTTATGAGTTATATTGGCTCCTCTCTTGAATTAAAGTTAATAAAGGGAGGATACATTACAGTCAGCAATAGAGAAATCTATACCAATCACGTTGGGTTAAAAAAACCCAACAACAATTACATAAAGCATAGGTTTGGTACTCGGACAGGACATGATTTTAACTTGGCTGGGGGAAGAGGAAGCATTAAGGGTTCTTTATGGGAAATAATCAAAACTCAAACTATTTCAAGCATTCAAATTCTACCAGATGCTCAAAAGGGATACAAGAAAGACTCATGAAGCAAGTCACACTGATGTTGCTGATGTTGGCCTCTTTTTCTCAAAGGAGCTGAAATACCTGCCAGATATACTTTGATGACTAAAAAGGATATGCCTTTAACCACAAAGTCCTTCAAAAATGATAAGATCTCTGTCACAAAACACAGAAAGAAAAATGTGTACCGGTAAGAGTCTTTGCTCCAGCTTTTCAACAACTCTCCTTGTGCTCTTACAGGTGACTGGTCGACAGTTCTCTATCACACTGATTGGCATCAAAAACAGAAGATTGACAATCCAAAGGCGATGTAAGTGAGTAAGTACTTGTCAAGTTCAAGTTATTCTAAATGAGTGAAGCTGAACTATGTGCACATTAACCACATCAAGATGATAATTTCTCCTTTGATTGGCACTATGGCAAAATATTAAGACTGCCATGTTGGAATGAAGTCAGGCTAAAAGGTATGCATAGTATGTGTATATACATGTGCTGAGACACGTTCTGTGTTTTTGTTCGTTTGAATTAGTTTCCATTAACAGTAAAGTGTAAATTGGGCGCCTTGTTAATTTGGCTAGTAGCAGGAAGAAGTTTTTATGGCAGGAGGTTCTGGCCCTGCAGCACTACAGCTTCATGACAGGGGAGAGAGTCTGAAACAAATTGTGCCTAGGGTGGTGGGGTTTAGCTGTATTATTTGCTGCTAACCTCCTGGTTCAGTAGGTGTATAGTTCCTAAAGAGAAGGAAGCAGCGATAAAGTCCTGCTGCCTGTCCTTATCCCTGGTGATGGCAGCAGTGTACCAGAGGGTGATGGACCCAATGATGGTAAAGTAGAAGTGCACCACCAATGCCTTCAGCTTTATTTAAGTATTTGGCTGCCACAGGCAGTGCATTTCCACTTTTATTAGAGAGTTTAGCTCTAGACTATTCTGGCTGCAACAAATCACCAGATGATCAATGTCACAGCTGGATCTGTGCATTGCAAATGTATGTTGGGCTCATTAGTATTTGCCCAGCCTGAAGCTGGTGTAGTGAGCGGTCATTCCTTAACTTCTCAGTGAAGTGTGGCCGTCCCATACAAATCTTGATCTGAAACCAAAAGTGTCTTCCCTGTAATGGGATAAACCAGGGCATGGGAGACAGACATTTGTGATTATAAAGCCTCCCATTATCAAGATTGTTCTACACATATGGTGAAAATCTCATAAGAAAATGTTGTATACAGATTTTACCACTTTTTCATGTCTAGAAAGTGTTAACCATGGTAGCAATGGAAATTGTTAGCCACCTTAGAAGCTTGCAAAAAAGTGCAAAGTGGGAAATATTAATATTTAATTAGTGCTGAAAAGCAGTACTAACAATAAGCCCCTTTTCCAACTGCTTTATTTGGCTCGGCTGTACCCAACAATCCATCCATCCATTTTCCGTTATGCTTATCCCTGCTGAGGTCATGAGTGGTGGTAGTTCCTATCTTTAGCTGTCAATGAGCAAGACATGGGGGTACACCCTGGTCAGGTACCCAGTCTGTCGCAGGGCAACACAGAGACAAACAGGACAAACAACCATGC